GACGCACGTCCATGGGGACGCTTCCATGGGGACGCACGTCCATGGGGACACTTCCATGGGGACGCACGTCCATGGGGACACTTCCATGGGGACGCACGTCCATGGGGACGCACGTCCATGGGGACACTTCCATGGGGACGCACGTCCATGGGGACACTTCCATGGGGACGCATGTCCATGGGGATGTAACACTGTAAAAGTGTTTGGGTTAGTTTATTTAAAATATATATAGAACATGAGTCACAGACAAGGATCTGAGAGGCGCCAGTTGTCTGCCTGAGATCTCACACCTCAAAGCGTTAATGACCCCAAGTGACCTGAGGTCAGATCATGAGAATTTCACCTTGCTTCCGCTAAGCGTATAATTGGAGCCGGGTAGCCTTCAAACATGCCGACGTTTAAGGAGTGGCTTGGTAGTGCCGGAGGCTATCTATTTGTGGGCGGAGTTAGCTACTAGGTTCCCCAATAAATACTCTGAGAACTATCGAGCAGAAAGCATTAAGAGACAGAACAGCAGACGAGAGCAGAGACGACGTCCCTAGCAGGGAGGCTGTCGGCCGGCAGGGGCGAGACAGTCTCTGTCAAGCTACAGACCCCCCCCCCTCTCTATTCAACTTAGACTCCGTCCTCGGTGAGTGAACAGTAAGGTGACTTGGTCGTGTTTACATATGTTGTGTGATGATCAGGGGCAGTCAAGTTGTAGGGTTCTCGAATTCTTGGATGATGACTCACTTTGCATATTAAACTGGAACATTTTAATTGAATTGCTAAATTATGATACTTCATGTGAAATATAATTATGAATTTATTATTTAAATTGTGTTTAACTTTGTTCCCTAGAGCTTTGAGTTGAGGATTTGAGAAAGCCTCTGTGGTTACTGGGTTCATGATATAAATGAGTGCATGTTTGGAGTTGATACATGGTACAGAGGGAACATACTAATAATGAACTCATGATAACATCCTTTGAGAATTTTGTGATACAGGCAAGTTCCATTCCTTGTCTTGTATGTAATGATCATGAATGGATGGTGGCAGCATTTCGTCTTCTACTATCTACTCTTCTACTTCTACTATCTACTCTTCTACTTCTACCTATCTACACCTCTCCCTCCACCCCCTCTCTAAACTCTCACTTTCAACTAATGACCCTCCTCGCTCCTCCCACCTCTCTACCTCTCACCCCAAACCCTCACTAATTACTTCACTTTTCATTTCTTTCCTTTCGTTTCCTCTTATACGTTTGTGGCAGTGATACTGTATTCTAGAGTTCTCTCTAGAGTTTCGGGTAACTGATCAAGTGACGGCGCCTTGTAGTCTTAGCACCTAGGTATTCAAATACCTAGGTTACAAGGTGTTGAACGAGAGAGGTTGCCTTAGGAACTCTGGAGGTGCTCTAGAATAGTTAGCTAACTGAGGACGGGATAACGGACTAGAGAGAGCTGTTTCCCCCGGCCTCGTTAGTTAACTGGGGGGTGGAATAATGGACAAGATAGAGCTATTTCCCCCACCCCCCGTTACAGGGACACTTCCATGGGGACGCACGTCTCCATGGGGACACTTCCATGGGGACGCACGTCCATGGGGACACTTCCATGGGGACGCACGTCCATGGGGACACTTCCATGGGGACGCATGTCCATGGGGACACTTCCATGGGGACGCACGTCTCCATGGGGACACCGGGGAATATAGCAGGAGCCTCTATGCTCACAATAAAGTGAGGTGAAGTTCAACGTCAGTAATGTGGCTATGTTATTCCCGCCTGTGGCAGAGCGTGGCGCAGCGTCAGTGATTACCTTGCCAACAGTGTCATGTGTCCCTCGCCTCCAGTGTCATGTGTCCCTCGCCTCCAGTGTCATGTGTCCCTCGCCTCCAGTGCCATGTGTCCCTCGCCTCCAGTGTCACGTGTCCCTCGCCTCCAGTGTCACGTGTCCTTCGCCTCCAGTGTCACGTGTCCCTCGCCTCCAGTGTCACGTGTCCCTCGCCTCCAGTGTCACGTGTCCCTCGCCTCCAGTGTCACGTGTCCCTCGCCTCCAGTGTCACGTGTCCCTCGCCTCCAGTGTCACGTGTCCCTCGCCTCCAGTGTCACGTGTCCCTCGCCTCCAGTGTCACGTGTCCCTCGCCACCAGTGTCACGTGTCCCTCGCCTCCAGTGTCACGTGTCCCTCGCCTCCAGTGTCACGTGTCCCTCGCCACCAGTGTCACGTGTCCCTCGCCACCAGTGTCACGTGTCCCTCGCCTCCAGTGTCACGTGTCCCTCGCCTCCAGTGTCACGTGTCCCTCGCCTCCAGTGTCACGTGTCCCTCGCCTCCAGTGTCACGTGTCCCTCGCCTCCAGTGTCACGTCTGCCTCGCCTCCAGTGTCATGTGTCCCTCGCCTCCAGTGTCATGTGTCCCTCGCCTCCAGTGTCACGTGTCCCTCGCCACCAGTGTCACGTGTCCCTCGCCTCCAGTGTCACGTGTCCCTCGCCTCCAGTGTCACGTGTCCCTCGCCTCCAGTGTCACGTGTCCCTCGCCTCCAGTGTCACGTGTCCCTCGTCTCCAGTGTCACGTGTCCCTCGCCTCCAGTGTCACGTGTCCCTCGCCTCCAGTGTCACGTGTCCCTCGCCTCCAGTGTCACGTGTCCCTCGCCTCCAGTGTCACGTGTCCCTCGCCTCCAGTGTCACGTGTCCCTCGCCTCCAGTGTCACGTGTCCCTCGCCTCCAGTGTCACGTCTGCCTCGCCACCAGTGTCACGTCTGCCTCGCCACCAGTGTCATGTCTGCCTCGCCACCAGTGTCATGTCTGCCTCGCCACCAGTGTCATGTCTCCCTCGCCACCAGTGTCATGTCTCCCTCGCCACCAGTGTCATGTCTCCCTCGCCTCCAGTGTCACGTGTCCCTCGCCTCCAGTGTCACGTGTCCCTCGCCACCAGTGTCACGTGTCCCTCGCCACCAGTGTCACGTCTGCCTCGCCACCAGTGTCATGTCTGCCTCGCCACCAGTGTCATGTCTGCCTCGCCACCAGTGTCATGTCTCCCTCGCCACCAGTGTCATGTCTCCCTCGCCACCAGTGTCATGTCTCCCTCGCCACCAGTGTCATGTCTCCCTCGCCACCAGTGTCATGTCTCCCTCGCCACCAGTGTCATGTCTCCCTCGCCACCAGTGTCATGTCTCCCTCGCCACCAGTGTCATGTCTCCCTCGCCACCAGTGTCATGTCTCCCTCGCCACCAGTGTCATGTCTCCCTCGCCTCCAGTGTCACGTGTCCCTCGCCACCAGTGTCATGTGTCCCTCGCCACCAGTGTCATGTCTCCCTCGCCACCAGTGTCATGTCTGCCTCGCCACCAGTGTCATGTCTGCCTCGCCACCAGTGTCATGTCTGCCTCGCCACCAGTGTCATGTCTCCCTCGCCACCAGTGTCATGCCTCCCTCGCCACCAGTGTCATGTCTCCCTCGCCACCAGTGTCATGTCTGGTCAACGTGTCCTCTTGTAACATGAGTGAAGGTTTCAATATCCTTTGATATCTGTGTACCATTTTGTGCAACAATATTCAAGAATTCTATATAAAGTTATAATAGTCTGACTCCAGACTACTTTATCTTAGTGATAAGCCATTTTGTCAAATGTCACATCACTCCTAATAAAGAGTGAGTGATACTTTTCACAACGAGAGCATGTGTCATCAGGTTTGGCCGTGAAGCTGTGAGTGCTGATTCACCTGACGTCTTCACCCTCACACAGACCTTTGATCAAGCTTTAGCTTCATCAAGCACCAGCTTCATCAAGCATCAGCTTCATCAAGCACCAGCTTCATCAAGCACCAGCTTCATCAAGCACCAGCTTCATCAAGCATCAGCTTCATCAAGCACCAGCTTCATCAAGCACCAGCTTCATCAAGCACCAGCTTCATCAAGCACCAGCTTCATCAAGCACCAGCTTCATCAAGCACCAGCTTCATCAAGCACCAGCTTCATCAAGCACCAGCTTCATCAAGCACCAGCTTCATCACGCATCAACTTCATCCATCACCAGCTTCATCAAGCACCAGCTTCATCAAGCACCAGCTTCATCACGCATCAACTTCATCCATCACCAGCTTCATCAAGCACCAGCTTCATCAAGCACCAGCTTCATCAAGCACCAGCTTCATCAAGCACCAGCTTCATCAAGCACCAGCTTCATCAAGCACCGGCTTCATCAAGCACCAGCTTCATCAAGCACCAGCTTCATCAAGCACCAGCTTCTTCAAGCACCAGCTTCATCAAGCACCAGCTTCATCAAGCACCAGCTTCATCAAGCACCAGCTTCATCAAGCACCAGCTTCATCAAGCACCAGCTTCATCACGCATCAACTTCATCCATCACCAGCTTCATCAAGCACCAGCTTCATCAAGCACCAGCTTCATCAAGCACCAGCTTCATCAAGCACCAGCTTCATCAAGCACCAGCTTCATCAAGCACCAGCTTCATCAAGCACCAGCTTCATCAAGCACCAGCTTCTTCAAGCACCAGCTTCATCAAGCACCAGCTTCATCAAGCACCAGCTTCATCAAGCACCAGCTTCATCAAGCACCAGCTTCATCAAGCACCAGCTTCATCACGCATCAACTTCATCCATCACCAGCTTCATCAAGCACCAGCTTCATCAAGCACCAGCTTCATCAAGCACCAGCTTCTTCAAGCACCAGCTTCATCAAGCACCAGCTTCATCAAGCACCAGCTTCATCAAGCACCAGCTTCATCAAGCACCAGCTTCATCAAGCACCAGCTTCATCAAGCACCAGCTTCATCAAGCACCAGCTTCATCAAGCACCAGCTTCATCAAGCACCAGCTTCATCAAGCACCAGCTTCTTCAAGCACCAGCTTCATCAAGCACCAGCTTCATCAAGCACCAGCTTCATCAAGCACCAGCTTCATCAAGCACCAGCTTCATCAAGCACCAGCTTCATCAAGCACCAGCTTCATCAAGCACCAGCTTCATCAAGGAAGCTGGTGCTTGATGAAGAGAGGATAGAGACCTTGAGGGTCTGGAGAGCGTGTTCTATCCTGGTGGTGGGGACGGCGGCGGGGTTGTTGGTGGCGTCCAGGAAGCGCTGCACCTTCTGCAGCTCCTTGGTCTGCAGCTGAGACAGTCCCTCCAGGATGGCGTTCCGCGGGTCCTCCTTCCCGCTCGCCTTCCAGTCCTTCACGTCCACCACGTCACATCAATACAAAATAGAAAAAATAATTCAACATTATTTTAATTATTTTTGTAATATTTAAATATTTGTATGTTTAGCTATTACATATTTTAACAGCTATTTAAATATTATTTTATTATATTAATAAATATTTAGTTATAAAATATATTTGTGTTTAGCTATTTAAATATTTTTTATATATAAATTTTTAATAATAACTTTTCATATATAAACTGTTAAATGGATTCTTTTTTAAATATTATTTTTTTAAATGTTTAAAGTTTGTCATGAACCTCAGTTGTTTTATTGTGTCTCGATCATGTTCAAGTTCAAGTAAGTTTAGTGAGAAAGGTAAGTAGTAGATTAATTAAGAAGACTCAATTACTGCTGTACAAGCGAGGCGGCTGGGTTGTGTGGGTGGCCAGCCAGGGTCGGGGTTGTGTGGGTGGCCAGCCAGGGTTGGGGTTGTGTGGGTGGCCAGCCAGGGTTGGGGTTGTGTGGGTGGCCAGCCAGGGTTGGGGTTGTGTGGGTGGCCAGCCAGGGTTGGGGTTGTGTGGGTGGCCAGCCAGGGTTGGGGTTGTGTGGGTGGCCAGCCAGGGTTGGGGTTGTGTGGGTGGCCAGCCAGGGATGGGGTTGTGTGGGTGGCCAGCCAGGGTTGGGGTTGTGTGGGTGGCCAGCCAGGGTTGGGGTTGTGTGGGTGGCCAGCCAGGGTTGGGGTTGTGTGGGTGGCCAGCCAGGGTTGGGGTTGTGTGGGTGGCCAGCCAGGGTTGGGGTTGTGTGGGTGGCCAGCCAGGGTTGGGGTTGTGTGGGTGGCCAGCCAGGGTTGGGGTTGTGTGGGTGGCCAGCCAGGGTTGGGGTTGTGTGGGTGGCCAGCCAGGGTTGGGGTTGTGTGGGTGGCCAGCCAGGGTTGGGGTTGTGTGGGTGGCCAGCCAGGGTTGGGGTTGTGTGGGTGGCCAGCCAGGGTTGGGGTTGTGTGGGTGGCCAGCCAGGGTTGGGGTTGTGTGGGTGGCCAGCCAGGGTTGGGGTTGTGTGGGTGGCCAGCCAGGGTTGGGGTTGTGTGGGTGGCCAGCCAGGGTTGGGGTTGTGTGGGTGGCCAGCCAGGGTTGGGGTTGTGTGGGTGGCCAGCCAGGGTTGGGGTTGTGTGGGTGGCCAGTCAGGGTTGGGGTTGTGTGGGTGGCCAGCCAGGGTTGGGGTTGTGTGGGTGGCCAGCCAGGGTTGGGGTTGTGTGGGTGGCCAGCCAGGGTTGGGGTTGTGTGGGTGGCCAGCCAGGGTTGGGGTTGTGTGGGTGGCCAGCCAGGGTTGGGGTTGTGTGGGTGGCCAGCCAGGGTTGGGGTTGTGTGGGTGGCCAGCCAGGGTGTGGGGCCTGATTAGTGTATTATTTGAGGTGGTGGCGGTGGCCTGCTTAGCATCTGGCTTGGTAGCCGGCTAGGATAGTGTCTGGCTGGGGATTGCTAGGGTCTAGGGGGTTGGACAGAGTCTTGAGGGTTAGAGGGGTGGTGGTGGCCGGCTAAGATAGTACTTATGACACCAAGAGAGAGTCACCTGTAACTCTTCGTCTTCGTTATGGTACGGTATGGGCAGTTTGTGTCAAGGTTGACTGGACGAGTGGAGGTGTTGGGGGACGCGTCACAATGGCATGTCAGTCTTTAATTGGCAAGACTAAGCCAGTGTCTGGGATGCTCCCGGACGCAGGATCGAATCCTCGTCACGGCCCTTGTGGATTTGTTCATTTAATTGGCAAGGCTCACGAGTTGTTGGTGTTGATTTCTTGTGTGCTACAAGGGCGACAGCTAAACTAGACAGGTGTTACAGATGGAGTTGATGCACTTGTTGGCGAAGGCTAGATGGTGTATGTATGGCGTCAGCTGAGCGTTGCTGATTTTTTCGACCCATCCTCGGACCAAGTCCATTCCATCCAGTGATCGATCCCAAAGACGTATTCATCAATTTTAACGTAGTGTTCATTCAAAACAGAAATTTTCTCAAATATAAATTAATATTATTATATATTAGCATATTGCGCATGTTTAGTCATAGGTTAGGTTAGGTGTTTATGTTCTGTTGACGATTATTTGTATTTGTAGTACGTAGGTGAAGCATTTACAGCGTTGTAGTTCGAACAAAAGTCGTCAGTGAAGCACTTGTTCCGGAAGTGTTTGGACGTCATCAGTTGCGAGTCATGTGTAAGGCGTTTTTAATTCATAAACAGTGGTGTTTGGCGGATGAATGGAATGGACTTTGGCCTTTCTTTACGAGGACGGGATGCCTCAAAAAAATAAATATATTGTAACACACCATGTTAGAATAAAAGATGTGATTAGAGTAGATATTAAGGCCATTGTGAATCAGTAGTTATTGCACTGAAGGCAGTGTTAGTATCATAGTAAAGTCAGCACTCTATTCTTATATATATAAGAAGATATCAGTAATGAAATAATTATACATTTAAGCAAATAATATACAAGTAACCGAACTAATGCAGAATAAAGACCATTGTCGACTCTCGAAATGTCTAGAGGTGAAACCTAGTTGTGTAAAGAGTCAGTTATCGGTTACTGTCACGTTAATAAGCAGACGAGGTGAGCGTGGAGCGGGTGCACCAACACAGAGGCGGCGGCAGAAGCAGCAGCTGTACCAGGCTGTGTGCTACGGTACCGTCAGCAGTGACAAGACTCACGTCAGTGTTAGGGGTGGGCGACGGTGCGGGAGTCTTAGCGCCCTCAGCCTCGCCGCCAGCCTGGTGCTCCACCACGGTCGGGTCAGGCGGCTCGCTGACCTCCACTTCAGACACTGTCAACAACACCAGAAACAAAACCATTGGTTCAGAAGAACTTTTAGAATACGTAATTATATAATATAGGATAGTTAAAACCACACTGAAACACAACTTATACATTTGCACACATACTCAAACTCAGTGAGTTCGAGGCTCTAATGAAAAGTTATAATGAAATAAAAATGTAATTTTGTAAATTATATATGATGAAATTTGTTATTATATAAATAATATATATATATATATATATATATATATATATATATATATATATATATATATATATATATATATATATATATATATATATATATATATATGTCGTACCTAGTAGCCAGAACGCACTTCTCAGCCTACTATGCAAGGCCCAATTTGCCTAATAAGCCAAGTTTTCATGAATTGATTTTCGACAACCTAACCTACCTAACCTAACCTAACTTTTTCGGCTACCTAACCTAACCTATAAAGATAGGTTAGGTTAGGTTAGGTAGGGTTGGTTAGGTTCGGTCATATATCTACGTTAATTTTAACTCCAATAAAAAAAAATTGACCTCATACATAATGAAATGGGTAGCTTTATCATTTCATAAGAAAAAAATTAGAGAAAATATATTAATTTGGGAAAACTTGGCTTATAAGGCAAATCGGGCCTTGCATAGTAGGCCGAGAAGTGCGTTCTGGCTACTAGGTACGACATTATATATATATATATATATATATATATATATATATATATATATATATATATATATATATATATATATATATATATATATGTTGTACCTAGTAGCCAGAACGTCGTACTCGGCCTGCTATGCAAGGCCCAATTTGCATAATAAGCCAAGTTTTCCTGAATTTACATATTTTTCTAATTTTTTTCTTATGAAATGATAGACCAATCTATTTCATTATGTATGAGTTCATTTTATTTGTTTTGAGTTAAAAATAACGTAGATATATGACCGAAACTAAACTACCCTACCTAACCTAACCTATCTTAACCTAGCCTAAACTAATATAACTAAGTCAATATTTTATGTTCATAGTATACTATAATAATAATAATTCAAATAAACCAATTGGAAATAATTTATGGAAAATAAAGATAATCACTCGGCCTATTAAGCAATCAAAAACATTGAAATTGAAACATAACATATTTAGTATTAGTATTGTGTTGTTCTTACATGCAACAGATGGCACTGTTTTTCCAAAAAAGCATGTTTTTACCTCTTACAGGTATGGCATATATATAGAAGGTATATAAAAACACAGGTGTATTCAAATGGAAGGTTGTGTCAAAATTTCAAGGCAATCGGTGAAAAAATTTAGGAGATTACAGCGTGTGTTGCTCTTACGTCCAACAAATGGCGTTGTTTTCCAAAAATAACATGTTTTTACCTGTCACAGGTGAGGCATGTATATAGTAGGTATATAAAAACACGCGCCTATTCGAATGCAACGTTGTGTTAAAATTTTAAAGTAATCGGTAAAGAGGTTTCGAAGATTTCCCTCACATAAAAACAGTTAAAAAAAAAACATTTTTTTTTTCCTGTCACAGACGTGACATCTATATAGTATGCATATAAAAACCCGCTCGGATGCGAATGGAACGTTGTGTGAAAATTTCAAAGCAATCGGTGAAGAACTTTCGGAGATTAGCGATTTTGAAGAAACGAACATTTTAATTTTTATTTATATAGATTTAGTGTAGAGTTAACCCACGTGTTCCTGGATACCATGATACTGAAACCTATCTCCTTCATTTTCTTCTTGAGCGGGGAGTGGCTTAAGGGCATTCATTTTTAAGATACGTAAAACATGTGCGTCTTGATTCGTCAAACACTTGTTTTTAACGAATTTTACGGGGTGTTACCAACAGGAATTAGATTTTCTTGCAAGGGGAACAATATCTATGTCTTCAGTCATATCCTTGTGATGGAAGTCAGAATATAGTTTTCTAAGAGAAGCAATGTTCCATCACAGTATACTGGTGGCACCATGCTTTTAGATATTACTGAGGATGGCCGCTATTTTTCTCGCGTTTATATTTGCTAGATATTTTTGTCTCGGAATCTACCAGGTTATGATACTGTTCCAACTGCCTTTATAAGGTTATATCATCTTCGAACAGCGTATGGTCTTCCAGGAGTATTATAATTCCATTACGTTTGAGCAATCAGGGATGAGGTCCGCGCTTCTTGATGGGGGTACTCCACGGTCTAGGCACACCATCTACCATCAACGGATGCTGGTCTAGAAAGTCATCATCCTGTACCTGTCCTGTTCCTTGTGTTCACTATATTGTCGTCCATAGACACTATACTGTCGCATATGTACACTATACTGTTATCTGTGTTCATTATTGTCACATGTGTACACTGTAATGTTACTTATATACACTATACTGTCACCTGTGTACAGTAAAATGTTCTAATCTATGGTAGGCATAGATTAGAACCTCAAGGTACAGGAGCCACGAGAAGCCATCAGAATGGCGTCTGCTGGCGTATCTGGGTGGCTCTGTCGACGACATGCATACCGCTGTACTATGACTTGTCTCTCCTCCACACATGGTTATCACCCCCTCTCCCTCTCCTGTGCCCTTGGGCCAGATTCACGAAGCAGTTACGCAAGCACTTACGAACCTGTCCATCTTTTCTAAATCTTTGGCGGCTTTGTTTACAATTATTAAACAGTTAATGAGCTGCGAAGCACCAGGAGGCTGTTTATAACAATAAGAACAGTTGATTGACAAGTTTTCATGCTTGTAAACTGTTTAATAAATGTAACCAAAGCCGTCAAATAATGATGAAAGATGTAGAGGTTCGTAAGTACTTGCGCAACTGTTTCGTGAATCTGGGTCCTTGTCTTCAAGACTAGCCAGTCTACAGTGTTTGGGTGAGGATGATTGGGAAAACAGAGAGCTGGTTTCTTTGCTTTTTAAGCAGGCGTCAGCAGGCGCTACTCCGCTTGTCTTGTGTCGAGTGAAACCGGAGCATGTTAATGATATTTCAGAGGACCAGGTGAGGTGGTACACAGCCGATCAAGCAAGTTTCTGGCGCCCAGCGGGCAAGCAAGTCCTCGGCGTTGTTGTTGTTGTCGTTTTAGATTCAGCCACTCGGAACAAAAAGTTGCAAGTAGCACGGGTTATGGTGAGCCCGTAGTGGACTTACCCGGCACAGGAGCGGCAAGCAATACGGGTTATGGTGAGCCCGTAGTGGACTTACCCGGCACAAGAGCAGGGCTGTATGCTCAGTCCCGGGCGGCCGACCACTTGTGATGGAAGGATGGAAGCGCAACCAAAGGTGAGTGAACTCAGGTTCCTCCTGAGGCAACTGGTCTGTTAATATCCGGTTTCTCTTGACAAATATTGGCCTGAGTAGGCCTGGTTGACAAATCAGTTGCGAGACATAAGAACCTCGACACATTTCTTGAGGATTGATAAAAACATGGGAGCGTTCCATGTTTTTGCGGCCGGGGATCCGCAAAAACACGCCACTGACGATTGCCTTAAATCTTGCAGGAACCTCGCCACATGCCCGGGAGCCACCTCGCCACATGCCTGGGAGCCACCTCGTCACATACCGGGGAGCCACCTCGCAACATACCGGGGAGCAGCCTCACCACTTGGTTGGGAGCCACCTCGCCACATGGCTGGGAGCCACCTCGCCACATGGCTGGGAGCCACCTCGCCACATGGCTGGGAGCCACCTCGCCACATGGCTGGGAGCCACCTCGCCACATGGCTGGGAGCCACCTCGCCACATGGCTGGGAGCCACCTCGCCACATGGCTGGGAGCCACCTCGCCACATGGCTGGGAGCCACCTCGCCACATGGCTGGGAGCCACCCTGAGAACACAATGATCAAGAGCTAACATAAGTTTGACCAGTGCGGCAGAGAGCCACTTAAAGTCTTGGTTGTGAATGAGTGAAGACATTTGTTTAAGGTTTCTTGTAGTGTTTAGAACCCCGCCTTGTTAAGTCACGTATGTGTACTGTACTCTCACTGGAAGCTGTGTACACTTTACTGTCACCTTTGTACACTTTACTGTCACTTGTGTACACTATAATGACACTCGTGTACACTATAATGACACCCGTGTACACTATAATGACACTCGTGTACACTATAATGACACTTGTGTACACTATAATGGCACCCGTGTACACTATAATGGCACCCTTGTACACTTTAATGGCACCCTTGTACACTATAATGGCACCCTTGTACACTATAATGGCACCCGTGTACACTATAATGACACCCGTGTACACTATAATGACACCCGTGTACACTATAATGACACCCGTGTACACTATAATGGCACCCTTGTACACTATAATGGCACCCGTGTACACTATAATGGCACCCGTGTACACTATAATGACACCCGTGTACACTATAATGGCACCCTTGTACACTATAATGGCACCCTTGTACACTATAATGGCACCCTTGTACACTATAATGGCACCCTTGTACACTATAATGGCACCCGTGTACACTATAATGGCACCCTTGTACACTATAATGGCACCCTTGTACACTATAATGGCACCCTTGTACACTATAATGGCACCCTTGTACACTATAATGGCACCCTTGTACACTATAATGGCACCCTTGTACACTATAATGGCACCCGTGTACACTATAATGACACCCGTGTACACTATAATGACACCCGTGTACACTATAATGGCACCCGTGTACACTATAATGGCACCCGTGTACACTATAATGGCACCCGTGTACACTATAATGGCACCCGTGTACACTATAATGACACTCGTGTACACTATAATGACACTCGTGTACACTATAATGACACTCGTGTACACTATAATGACACTCGTGTACACTATAATGACACTCGTGTACACTATAATGACACTCGTGTACACTATAATGACACTCGTGTACACTATAATGACACTCGTGTACACTATAATGACACTCGTGTACACTATAATGACACTCGTGTACACTATAATGACACTCGTGTACACTATAATGACACTCGTGTACACTATAATGACACTCGTGTACACTATAATGACACTCGTGTACACTATAATGACACTCGTGTACACTATAATGACACTCGTGTACACTATAATGACACTCGTGTACACTATAATGACACTCGTGTACACTATAATGACACTCGTGTACACTATAATGACACTCGTGTACACTATAATGACACTCGTGTACACTATAATGACACTCGTGTACACTATAATGACACTCGTGTACACTATAATGACACTCGTGTACACTATAATGACACTCGTGTACACTATAATGACACTCGTGTACACTATAATGACACTCGTGTACACTATAATGACACTCGTGTACACTATAATGACACTCGTGTACACTATAATGACACTCGTGTACACTATAATGACACTCGTGTACACTATAATGACACTCGTGTACACTATAATGACACTTGTGAATAATTATTAATTAGTTATATTATTATAAAAATTATTGTAATAATAATTGTTGTATTTAATAATTATCACTCTTCCTGCTGCTGGGTCATGAAGGGAACGGGCCTCGGGTGGAAGAGGGCTGCGACGACCTGTGTCTGGAACCCGTAGGTACGGGACCGGGCCGTCCGCCCCCCGGGGCTCGGGCGGCCCCCCAGGCTCTGCTTCAGGAGACTGGGGTCGTTCTTGCCCTTGCTGGGGTGGTTCTTCTCCGGCCCCGACCACGGCGGTCTCCGGGTCTGGCGTCCCTGTGTCTTCTTGCACCAACTTCGAGGTCAACCCCGGAGCTGGAGCCCCCTGGGGGCAGTTCGTTGTTGCCTTCATCCTCGTTCTGACAGTTCCTGCGACGGCGCTGGAACCAATCGTATTGGCGTTTGCCTTTCCATTGGAGACTTTCGGGGTTCCGAGGGGAAACCTGCTGCTTGGGTAACAGCTTCTCCTCCGTATCAACCTACTCTGGCTTTGCGCCCGGGAGAGGCCGCTCCAGTCCGACAACCAGAGAGCAACTCCATAGTCTCCTGACACTGATGGATGCCTACTACTACTCATGACTCTTGAGGACTCACCTGGGCGTCTCGAGGACTCACCTGGACGGGCGTGATGAGTGACGATCTGGGAGGCGAGCAGGAGGCTGATGAGCAGGAGGAGGAGCAGCACCCTGCGGGCCCGGGTCCCAGGCACCAGCATCCACACCTGCAGCATCACCCGCATCTGTGGGGCACCACAACGGTCGTTACTGCTGGGGGATGATGCGGCGGGGCTACGGGACGGGGGCACTCTGGGGGGGGGTCAAGTTTGGAGGGGTGATGCTGGGAGGGGTGTTGCTGTGAGTATGGTGCTGCGGGAGGTTATATCTGAAGGGTATGCCGCTGGTGAAGGGGGTTGCTGTGAGGGGAATTACTGAGAAGAAGAGGGGAAGGGGCGAGACATGTGCTAGAGGGGAAAGATAAAGTGAGAGTGAGAGACAAACTGTAAATAGTTCATCAACACACAACTCTGCCGTCAGCCCAGATATAGGCACGACAACACGACTGGGAAACACGGAGCTCGGGTTGTGTTCAGGTGCACTCACAACAGCCTCCACACACACACACACACACACACACACACACACACACACACACACACACACACACACACACAAGCTGGAGAAACAGGCAGGAGTAACTGGTAGGGCGCTCCAGTGGATAAGGGAGTATTTAAGCAATAGGAAGCAGAGAGTTACGGTGAGGGGTGAGACCTCCGATTATCGTGAAGTCACCAGTGGAGTCCCACAGGGGACCTATCCTGGTACTCGGACCTATCCTGTTTCTGATATACGTAAATGATCTCCCGGAGGGTATAGACTCATTCCTCTCAATGTTTGCGGACGATGCCAAAATTATGAGAAGGATTAAGACAAAGCAGGACAGCTTGAGGCTTCAAGAAGACCTGGACAAGCGGCAGGAATGGTCGAACAAATGGTTGTTAGAATTTAACCCAAGCAAATTTAATGTAATGAAGTTAGGGGTAGGGAGTAGGAGACCAGTTACAAGGTATCATTTTGGAGATGAAATACTTCAAGAGTCAGAGAGAGAAGGCTCTGGGGGTTGATATCACGCCAGACCTGTCCCCTGAAGCCCATATCAAGAGGCTAACATCAGCGGCATATGTCAGGTTGGCTAACATAAGAACGGCCTTTAGAAACTCCGGTAAGGAATCTTTCAGAACATTATATACCACATATGTCAGACCATTCCTGGAGTATGCGGCTCCAGTATGGAGTCCATATCTAGTCAAGCATAAGACTAAACTGGAAAAAGGTTCAAAGGCTTGCCACCAGACTAGTACGAGGTCGTCACCACGTACACCCAGTGGTCGTCACCACGTACACCCAGTGGTCGTCACCACGTACACCCAGTGGTCGTCACCACGTACACCCAGTGGTCGTCACCACGTACACCCAGTGGTCGTCACCACGTACACTCAGTGGTCGTCACCACGTACACTCAGTGGTCGTCACCACGTACACTCAGTGGTCGTCACCACGTACACCCAGTGGTCGTCACCACGTACACCCAGTGGTCGTCGCCACGTACACTCAGTGGTCGTCGCCACGTACACCCAGTGGTCGTCGCCACGTACACCCAGTGGTCGTCGCCACGTACACTCAGTGGTCGTCACCACGTACACTCAGTGGTCGTCACCACGTACACTCAGTGGTCGTCACCACGTACACTCAGTGGTCGTCACCACGTACACTCAGTGGTCGTCACCACGTACACTCAGTGGTCGTCACCACGTACACTCAGTGGTCGTCACCACGTACACTCAGTGGTCGTCACCACGTACACTCAGTGGTCGTCACCACGTACACTCAGTGGTCGTCACCACGTACACTCAGTGGTCGTCACCACGTACACTCAGTGGTCGTCACCACGTACACTCAGGGGTCGTCACCACGTACACCCAGGGGTCGTCACCACGTACACCCAGGGGTCGTCGCCACGTACACCCAGGGGTCGTCGCCACGTACACCCAGTGGTCGTCGCCACGTACACCCAGGGGTCGTCGCCACGTACACCCAGTGGTCGTCACCACGTACACTCAGTGGTCGTCACCACGTACACCCAGGGGTCGTCACCACGTACACCCAGTGGTCGTCACCACGTACACTCAGTGGTCGTCACCACGTACACCCAGGGGTCGTCACCACGTACACCCAGGGGTCGTCACCACGTACACCCAGGGGTCGTCGCCACGTACACCCAGTGGTCGTCACCACGTACACCCAGGGGTCGTCGCCACGTACACCCAGTGGTCGTCACCACGTACACCCAGGGGTCGTCGCCACGTACACCCAGTGGTCGTCGCCACGTACACTCAGTGGTCGTCGCCACGTACACTCAGTGGTCGTCGCCACGTACACCCAGGGGTCGTCGCCACGTACACTCAGTGGTCGTCGCCACGTACACCCAGGGGTCGTCACCACGTACACCCAGGGGTCGTCGCCACGTACACTCAGTGGTCGTCGCCACGTACACCCAGGGGTCGTCACCACGTACACCCAGGGGTCGTCACCACGTACACCCAGGGGTCGTCGCCACGTACACTCAGTGGTCGTCACCACGTACACCCAGGGGTCGTCGCCACGTACACCCAGTGGTCGTCACCACGTACACCCAGGGGTCGTCGCCACGTACACCCAGTGGTCGTCACCACGTACACCCAGGGGTCGTCGCCACGTACACCCAGTGGTCGTCGCCACGTACACTCAGTGGTCGTCGCCACGTACACTCAGTGGTCGTCGCCACGTACACCCAGGGGTCGTCGCCACGTACACTCAGTGGTCGTCGCCACGTACACCCAGTGGTCGTCGCCACGTACACTCAGTGGTCGTCACCACGTACACTCAGTGGTCGTCGCCACGTACACCCAGTGGTCGTCGCCACGTACACTCAGTGGTCGTCACCACGTACACTCAGTGGTCGTCGCCACGTACACCCAGTGGTCGTCACCACGTACACTCAGTGGTCGTCACCACGTACACTCAGTGGTCGTCACCACGTACACTCAGTGGTCGTCGCCACGTACACTCAGTGGTCGTCACCACGTACACTCAGGGGTCGTCACCACGTACACCCAGTGGTCGTCACCACGTACACTCAGTGGTCGTCACCACGTACACTCAGGGGTCGTCACCACGTACACCCAGTGGGTCTGACGCCACAAACTTGGACAGCGTCAAGCCAGAGACCAAAATAGTCGCAGTGCAAGACCGGATGGTGAAATATAATGACCCATCAGCCTCGCTGTATAATGATCCACCAACCTTGCTGAATAATGACCCACCAACCTTCCTGTATAATGACCCACCAACCTCGCTGTATAATGACCCACTAATTTTGTTGTATAATGACCCACCAGCCTCGCTGCATAATGACCCACCAACCTTGCTGAAAAATGACCCACCAACCTTCCTGTATAATGACCCACCAACCTTCCTGTATAATGACCCACCAACCTTCCTGTATAATGACCCACCAACCTCGCTGTATAATGACCCACCAACCTCGCTGTATAATGACCCACTAATTTTGTTGTATAATGACCCACCAGCCTCGCTGCATAATGACCCACCAACCTCGCTGGATAATGACCCACCAATCTTGCTGTATAATGACCCACCAATCTTGCTGTATAATGACCCACCAATCTTGCTGTATAATGACCCACCGCCCGTGTTGTATAATGATCCACCGCCCGTGTTGTATAATGATCCACCGCCCGTGTTGTATAATGATCCACCGCCCGTGTTGTATAATGATCCACCGCCCGTGTTGTATAATGATCCACCGCCCGTGTTGTATAATGATCCACCGCCCGTGTTGTATAATGATCCACCGCCCGTGTTATATAATGATCTACCACCACCATCACCTCTACACCACCACCATCACCTCTACACCACCACCATCACCTCTACACCACCACCATCACCTCTACACCACCACCATCACCTCTACACCACCACCATCACCTCTACACCACCACCATCACCTCTACACCACCACCATCACCTCTACACCACCACCATCACCTCTACACCACCACCATCACCTCCAATGTTATCCTTCATATTTCAATATATTACACACCCCTTACCCATGCCGTGAGCAGCAGTGGAAGAGGTCAGAGCCACATACATAATATGTGGCTCTGAGCCACATACATAATATGTGGCCCAGAAAGTGGAACCCCAAATTCCTTGAGGTGAGTAATGATCGAGTAGAGCAACCTACACCTTGTGCCCTCGTGCGACCAAACCTGCAATGTGTTCCGCGCTTCTCAAAACCCAGCTGCAAAGTCAAGGTCGCTTCGCTTCAGTGTATAATTAAGGATGATTAACTTTATGAAGGAATATTGAGGATACAACGTAAATTCCCCAGAGACGTGGAGTGAGAGAAGACAGAGGTAAACTTTGTACAGCAGTACAAAGATGAGTGACAGAGGTAAACACGTGTGATTCTTAAATTACAAACAATATTAAACCAAGGAGCAACGCATCTCAATTTCATAAAATTTAAGTTTACGTAAGCTAGCCAATGGCAGGTTGGCCAGTAGGAGTGGAGGTGGGTGCAGCCACTTATTGGGAAACATTACAAGGGGCAAATTGGTTGTATACATTGACCCACACAATACGTTTTGTATGGCGGAAGCTGAATAATGGCAGGAGCTGGCGCGCGCGCGCCCGTTCACAATCCATTATTGTTGTGTTCATGACTGTCCTTGAATTAGGAGTTCTTGACTAACCCAATAACACACCTGAGTGGCTTGAGCTACCTGCAGCCTACATATCTCCGCACAAGAGAAAATGTCATAATAAATAAGAGAAATAACTACTTTTCGGTAGTTATAGAGCACCACCACACACCCTGGGGTCGTCCCCAGCACCAGCACACACCCTGGGGTCGTCCCGAGCACACACCCTGGGGTCGTCCCCAGCACCACCACACACCCTGGGGTCGTCCCCAGGGTGTGTGGTGGTGCTTGGGACGTCGACGTGTGTGGTGGTGCTTGTTGATGTCGACGCATTCTCTTGACGCTCGTCCCACACGTCCCAGGCTGGAGCATGGCGTCAAGGGGGGTGTTGACGGTCGTCCCACACGTCCCAGGCTGGAGCATGGCGTCAAGGGTGGTGTTGACGCTCGTCCCACACGTCCCAGGCTGGA